CTACATTGGTGATTTTAACATCCATGTTGACAACCCCCAGGACAGAGGGACTAAAGAACTGTGTTGTGTTCTTGATAATTATGGGCTGACCCAACATGTGATGGAGCCCACACACAATAAGGGGCACACTTTGGACTTGGTCATCTCCAAGAGTCTGGACATTTCCAAGGTTGTGGTAACTGATGTTGCTCTCTCTGATCATTCCTGTGTTTTCTTTGAGAGTGCTATCTGCGTGCACACAAATGTTAAAACAGAGGTGATCACTGAAAACACTAGTGAAAAATTTATTGAGGCTTTCTCCTCAACACCCGCCCTCTCACGGGTCTCAGTCAATGAGCTTGTAGATAATTTCAGTTCTAAAATTACAAATGTTATTGATGCCACTGCACCAGCCAAGGTGAAGGTGGTCTCTGGCAAGAAAAGATATCCATGGAGAAATGCCATGCTGGTTAGAACTCAAAAAAGAGAGTGTCGAAAAGCTGAGCGCAGGTGGCGGAAAACAAATCTCCAGGTTCATTATGACATCTATAAAGAGAGACTTTGCATTTATAATTTAGAACTGAGAAATGCAAGGTGGTCCTTCTCTGACATCATCACCAAAAACACTAATAATGCCCTGTTTGCTACTGTCGACAGGCTAACCAACCCTCCTGTGTCTGTAGCCTCTGACCTTCTATCCACCTGGACCTGCAATGAATATGCCTCCTTCTTCACAGACACAATTCAAACAATTAGACAAGCAATCAGTGCCTCCATGCCAGTAACAGGATATGTCCACTCAAAAACAATTTATATAGCATGAGACAATTTGATTCTATTGACCATAAAAACCTGGAGGACATAATACAACATCTGAAATCCTCCTCATGCTGCCTTGATATTCTGCCAACATGTGTCTAAATGCATGGCCTCAGATCTACTACAAATTGTCAACATCAAAAGAGCAATCTAGACAGGTCACTAATGTAAATAATAATAAATTATAGGCCCATATCAAATCTCCCATTTTTAAGTAAAATCATTGAAAAAGCTGTTTTTCAACAGCTTAGTGCTTTCTTGGCACTAAATAACTGTTTTGATGTCTTCCAGTCAGGTTTTCAACCACACCACAGCACTGAGACGGCTCTTGTTAAGGTCTTCAATGACATCCATTTAAACACTGACAGTGGCAGAATTTCAGTCCTAGTATTATTGGATCTCAGTGCTGCATTCGACACGGTCAACCACAACATATTACTAGAGAGACTTGAAAACAGGGTTGGACTTTTGGCACAGTACTAAAATGGTTTGAATCGTACTTAAAGGAGAGGGACTACTTTGTGTCTATAGGTAATCACACATCTGAGCTGACAAAAATGACATGTGGAGTTCCCCCGAGGCTCCATTCTGGGACCTCTTTTGTTTAACATTTACATGCTTCCACTGGCTCAGATTATGAAAAACAACAAAATATGTTGCCATAATTATGCAGATGACACACATATTTACATAACCATTTCACCAGGGGACTATGATCCCATACAGGCGCTGAGTAACTGTATTGAGCAGGTCAACGGCTGGATGTGCCAGAATTTTCTTCTATTGAACAAAGATAAAACTGAAGTTATTGTTTTTGGAGCCAGGGAGGAACGATTTAAAGTCAGCGCTCGACTTCAATCTGTAATGTTAAGAACCACAAATCAAGACAGGAATCTTGGTGTAGTCATGGACTCAGACCTGAATCTGAGGAGCCACATTAAGACAATTACAAAGTCAGCCTACTATCACCTGAAGAATATATCAAGGATTAAAGGACTTACGTCTCAGCGAGACCTGGAAAAACTTATCCATACATTTATCTTCAGTCGACTCGACTACTGTAACAGTGTCCTTACAGGGCTCCCTAAGAAATCCATCAGACAGCTGCAGCTGATTCAGAACGCTGCTGCTCGAGTCCTCACTAAGACCAAAAAGGTGGATCACAGCACTCCTGTTCTGAGGTCTTTACACTGGCTTCCTGTATGTCAAAGAATTGATTCAAAATCCTGATGTTAGTTTATAAAGCACTAAATGGTTTCGGGCCAAAATACATTTCTGATCTTCTGCTTCGTTACGAACCATCAGACCTCTCAGGTCGTCTGGGGCAGGTCTGCTTTCTGTCCCCAGAGTCAAATCTAAACAAGGAGAAGCAGCGTTCAGTTATTATGCTCCGTATATCTGGAACAAACTCCCAGATAACTGCAGCTCTGCTGAAACGGTCAGTTCTTTTAAATTAAGACTAAAGACTTTTTTTTTACCATTGCTTTTAATGAAATATTTAAGATTTTTCTTTTTACCACTGCCTTTAACTAGTAGATTGATAACTTACACTGCACTGTAACATTTACTGTTTCTTTGTTTTTAGTTTTTTACGATTGCTTTTATTTATTTATATTTTTGTGTATTTTTTCAATTTCCCTATGTTGCTTTGAAACTTTTTTATATTTCCCTGTTGCTTTTATGTTTTATGTAAAGCACTTTGAATTACCTTGTTGTTGAAATGTGCTATACAAATAAACTTGCCTTGCCTTGCCTTGCCTTGGAAGCTGGACACCACAGACATAATAAGAAAAGAAGAGAAGAATATCCGGTCAGCTCCCTGCAGAAGTTAAATGTGAAAAGAGCTAAAGAGGCATGCCTGGCAAGGACAAGCAGGAGAGGATAGACGCAGATACTACCGGCAAAAATCTTATTTCTTGATAAGTTCTTGTTAGCAAAACAACACAATTGTGTAAGTTAATTAAAGTTGAGCTCACTCTGGGTTTGGTAATATTTTATTTGATGAATAGCTCTGGTGTGCATTATGTTAGCTAATGCTAGCGTACACGCGTATGTGAGAATTGTTTTAAGACGCGCTCGAAATTATGTTTCTATGTACTGCAATGCCTGACCACACAATATAATGTCATGTGATGTTATCTAAAATATTGCTCAACTTTATATACATTTGTATGGTCAAAGATCCTGTATTCCACTGATAAAAGTTGAACCTACCCTTTTCCAACTTTAACCAACTTAATGCTAAACCCACAGTTGGAATTTCCTGCCTTAGCAAAAAAGGAAAATGAAATAAAGAATAATAATAAAGATTTGCTATATGAATAGAATATCAGTGTTTATAATGAAACGCAAATGAAGAACTAAACTAGGTGGAAGTACTGGCCTGTATATATATATATATATAATATCTCATTTGCAACTGCATTTTGTTTCTTTTAGGGCTTCCTGGGATCGTTGCCTCACTCAGATGGCTTAGAGGCCACGAAATCCTCAAAGGACCAGCTGGACCCTCACAAGCTCAATGTGCTCATAGGTATATCTGGCTCCTGCACACCATCAGTGTTCTTACTCTCACTACATGTCAACGGGGTCAGAATAAATAAACAAATATTCTTGTGAAAAAAGATTTAAAATATTGTTCTACATCAAGTAATTGGCTACTTTTGTACTTCACAAATTGACTCCTGTGTTAATTTGAAATGACATGTAGACAGCACAGTTGTTAAGCAAGTCTGAA